TGTCACCGCAATAAACATGAAAGACATTAGGTGACTATTCGACTGGTTCACAGCGGTCAGCGGTCTCAGACATGACCATTAACTGGGGGAACAAAACCTTGGACTGGTGGATCCACCATCAAAGGGTGCGGCCCCCGAAGTTGCCACGAGTCAGGTGGCTCCCGGAAGCGGCCCCGGTCAGGTATTGGGAATTATGTTGACGACATTAGGTAAGCCTGCATCGACTAATGAGTGGATCCTTAAGCCCTCTTTAAAAAATTCGCTCACTGGAAAAATCAACACACCTCCCTAATCGGTAGGGTGCTGGCGATCAACAGCGCAGTGTTGGCGACCCTTTGGTATAACTCTGCAATTTGGGCAATCAGTAAGGAGGGCGTTCGATCGCTAAAGCGACAGTTATCGGCCCTGCTGTGGAGAGGCAATGGTGAGCTCTCGAACATTATTAGCAGGGTGACCTGGTCATCGTTAATCCAACCTCACTCAGCACCTCCCATGGTATGCCCTTATGCTAGAATAGATAGCTAAATTGGCCCACAAACACCATAGCGCATCAACCCATTGACCTGACTGGAAGACTGTTTCTGGACTGTACCACGGCGCCCTCGAGCTCCGCAAGGACTTGGCCAGGGACAACTTTTGGGCCCGAGTCCTGAGGGCCTGGCGCCAACTCCCGCTGCCCGACAAACCCCCATTGACTAGGTGGAAGGAAGTGATGCGTCAACCCCTTGGAGTGGTGCGGCAAGGTGTATTGAAGCTCAGACACCCCGTGGAGTAGCTGGATAAAAAAAGGCATAACCAGAATTAAAGGACAATTGGGACTCAGGAAGTGGGACTGGAAAATAGTGCTGCAACTGAGGGCCATACTAAAACATTGCCACAATGTTGAAGAGAACACTGAATTCTTTATCTTTGCTATCCCCCTAAATTGGGCGTGCGTCCTGCACAAAGGGCCGCGACTGGGAGAAGGAGACCGAGTAGCTGCCTCGGGTGACCCGAAAAGTGTAGGAAATGTGGTGGAGGCACGCGAAGATGAAACGTTGGTTAACCTCTTCCACATAAGCAAGGTTAATTTGCTCAATCGGTACACCACAGAGGTGATGAGATGGTGGAGGAGTGTGGACCTGCACAAGAGCCGTGTGCTGCGGGATAAGGATGTATGGATCGCATACCAGCCAAATACCCCCGTGGCATAGCTTCCCTTTGACCCCGAGGAGTGGTAGTGGACCGCTACATGAAAATTCAGGTCGGGGGAGAATGTAAAGTTGTATACCTTAACCGTGAAGCCTACCAACCGTCTGCTGCGACCAATGGTGAACATAAAAGAAACTGTAAAAACCCGATGGAGGTCTCATTTGAACGTAGGGATTGAGACGATCCACGCCATCCGATGGTTCACCACCACAAGGTCTAGGCCAACAAAGATGGCCTCGTTGCAGTGGCAGATAGAGCATCGCTGCCTGCCCACCAACGACTGGCCAATAGATCGTACTTACCTAGAGCAGAAGGGGCGGGCGTTACCATGGTGTAAATCGTGTCTCACTGCCTTCCACCCCCGTAGGATTCTGGAAACCATAGAGAAACATATTCATGCAGCGCCCGGGGGCTGTCCTCACATGGCGATGGTGGGATAGGATCTGGACCCTGTTAAGCACTGGGTCCACCTGGCCATGGGATTGGAGGGCCATATTATGCGAGGCGTGGACCTTCCCCACGGACAACACTTTTGAAAACAAGATGTTTAAGATAGGGAGGAGAGCTGTCATGTGGAGGCCCTCAGGCTGGAGGAAACGTTGTATACATGTCATTCAGGGGGTCCGCATAGTTGAGGAGGAGGTAACAAACATGACAAAACAATATATACAACGAGAACTCATGGTGCATTGGCAAAAAGTTAAAAACAAACTGGAGTTGTTTCACTCATCAAAAAGACGTAATACAAGCAATTCATCAATTCTCTGGGGACTGGTTGGGCAGTGAGAACGGGGCCCGGATCGCCTTCGTCAGATGGGACGGCAGGCCCGCCCAGGAGTGTAACCAGGAAGAGTTCAGGAGAGACTACGGTACCTGCTTCAGAGACTGGACTACGGTGGGTCAGGAGATCCCACTGCGACCACCCACAGAATTTCCCGACCCCTTCCCGCCCCACCAACTGGCAATGGTGGACATGCAATGGTATGGAACAGATTGAGCAAGATCACAGGTCGAAGGGACCAAGTAAGGATCGGGCAGGTCTACAAGTAAGATAACAGAAGACACCTAAGTCATATTGAACGAGCTGTATAGGGCGGGCTGGTAGCTGGTCATGGGAGGCCGTGTTATACAGAAGAAACAGGACGTAGCTGCTAGGGAAACGATAGTGTGATCTGGCGGTCTGGTGCAAGCCAAAGAGGCGCCCCCACACCCCAAAGTGTGTTGTTGTCAACCACATTCCTCATTAACCCTGCGCAGTCAATCCCCTGAAAACAGGGCAATCAATGCTGGCAGGCCTTCTGATGTACAGTGGAATTCTGGACCCGCTTTCCAGCAGGTGCTGCTCCCCACCAATAGACCGGAGCACCCAGGACTCTTGCTAGGAGGAGGTACGCGTATCACTTCTCCTAGCAAGGAGACTGGATTTTCAAAAACAAACAAACAAACAAACTTATCCTTCCAGACATCCACTAAAATTGGAATGATACAGAAGATTAGCATGGCCCCTGTGCAAGGATGACACACATAAATCGAGAAAAATGGTCCCGAAAGAAAACAAACAAACAAACCAACAAACAAACAAACAAACGAACAAACGAACAAACAAACAAACAAACAAACAAACTTACTTGAATCAGGAATCAAGATACAAACAAAACTTTAAAAAATAGAGTAAGGCAATAATAGACAATTGGGCCAAATTGGCTGACAGCGTTGTAGACAGGCTCCCTAAGCAAAAGCCAAGAATAGCAATAGACCAAAAGAACGGAATAGCAAGTGGCTGACGCGATAGCAACATCAATAGACAACAGCCACGGGCTACCAGAGCCTGACAGGGTGCTATGATTCCTATTTTGCTTCTTGCCTGCCACCTTCATCAGACATTTTTTTTTTTTTCCCTCCACCTCCATCAAACTATGATTATGATTAAATTTCCTTGAAGTTTGTTCTAGTGTGGTCCATCAAAAATTCACTAACTCTTAAAAAAAAAAAAAAAAAAAAAAAACTGAGCATTCTATTCTAGTATTTCAGACTATTTATAGCTTACAATCTTGCCCTTGGCCAGAAGAGAAAAAAAGCGGGGAGACAGCAAAATTGCTGGAAACAATGGAAAATTGCAAACTGCACAGAATTTCCACGCCCTGCGGCCCTCAGAAAAAAAAAAAAAAAAAAAAAGTTAAAAAAACTACACAGAATCTATCCATCCACAACCAGAGAGTTTTATTACGGAACACGACAACACGGAGAAAAAAATAAAGATGAGCAGACAGCGAAGAATTTGTTTAATCCTCTTTCGATAATGCACAACCCCGCCGCCCCCGTCCAGTCACACCAAAAAAAAAAGGAAAAATAATGATTTTTTTGAGAACCTGCTGTACACATTCTGGTCTTTTTTCGATTTAAAAAAACTCCAAATTTTATTTTACACCACCACTTGCAAAGCCCCACAGAAGAGGCAATTCATCCAGAGTGCCCTGATGCCAAGCTGTTCCTTCATCGAGAATGATGGTTGCCCACCACAGCCGGAGTCCGTGTGCTCCTCACAAACTTCACACAGCCTTGATTGAAGGAACGCTAAATTGACCTGAGGGGGGCAAAGCAGTGGCAGCACAAGATACAAAACATCCAAAATCAAATTAATTATCTCGAAAAAAAAAGAAGGTACTTCACTTTCATATAAAATCATATGAAAATGCATAAAGTCAAATTGACAAAAAAAAAAAAAAACATAAAAAAAAATCATATGCAGTTCCATCTTCAAACTTCAGAGCTCAAAAAGAGGCTCAACCAACTGGCCTAGCTCAGTTGGTTAGGCACACAGGTGGTATCCAGGAGGTTGTGGGTTCGATCCCCACTGACCGGCTGGGGCAGGCTTGGTGCCAACCAACTGAGAGAGTTGGTTTGCTTGCTTGCTTGCTCCCGCTGTGTCGGTGGGTTGTGTGTGGTGTGTGGGAGAGTGTTGGCCTCAGACGCTGCTGTTAATCGATGGGGGCGCGGGCAGTAGATGGGGAGGCGCAGGGACTGCCTAAATGCCCGGTATTCGCATGAGCCGCCAACAACCCCCCCCACAACCAGCGGCCCCACCCTACACCGTGACCAGTGCTGATTAGGGCAGCGGCAACATGCATCCTCTTGATTGTGAGAGAGAGCTACGGTTGCAGGGTCCACTCCATAGTGATAGGTAGGCAGTAAGGATGAATTTGCGAGACAAATATAGGGGCTCGTTAGACACTCCTCGGGGCGTCCTCGGGGCACAAGGAGTTTTCCTTCGGGGCTTCCGAGATTTTTCCCGCCGTCGTTCCACTCATCCTCGGGATGGACTTCCGAGGAGAATTCCTATAGAGATCCCGTGGCCAGTCGTCCTCCAGTTAATAATCTTAACGGCGACTGCGGGGTGGGGTGGGGTCGGTGGTCCATGGGCGGTTGTCTGCTGGTACGGCTGTGGTCCAGCTTCGATTGGAGGCAAAAATCCGAATCTTCGCAGCGACCCAAAAAAAAAAAAAAAAACCACGCACGCCGTCCCTGTTCGAAATTCAAATTTCGAATGACGTCGCTGGGGTGAGGGCGGTTTGTCGTGGTGCTGCGGCGGCTGGTGGAGGACGTCAGAAAGGAGGCTCCTTCCACAGCGCGTCGGGGGGGTCAGCGTGGGTGCTGAGTGCGGCCAGGCAAGGAAGACGTCGGTGGAGAAGACGCCATCGCGACAGTCGCTTGGGGGGGGGGGAAGATTCCATCGGCCGTCGTCAGGGGAGAAGTTGTCGCCGCGCCAGTCGTCGGGGAAGGAGACGCCATCGCGGCAGTCATAAGGGCGAGTACTGCGTGTGCCCAGGCAAGGAAGACGTTGGGGGAGAATACGACCTCACGGCTCGTTTGGGAGCGATGGACGGGGGCGACCTTGGCGTTGGTGGGAAGCTGACGACAGCGAAGAGGACGGTAGTGGCAGCGGCTGTTACTGCAGTCCTCTTTCGTTGTCAGATGGAGAGGACGGCGGGGAGAATGAAAGCGCAGATCCGCGCGAGGAGGAGGAAGGTAACGCAGTGCACAGCACTGGAAGGCCCTGGGTTGGACACCGCCGCCATCTGCGATGTCGTCATTCACGTGTGCTGCGCCTTGGGTTGCGGAGCTCTTCCCAGAGCAATGCCGAGATGGTGGATGAAAAGGAGGACGGGTGGGGCGTGGGAGGATCTGCGGCAATGCGACAACGTGACAGAGGACTACTTTCAGGACAAGCTGCGCATGTCGCCACGTGTCTTTCGGGAGATTGCGGAAGCTCTCTCACCGTTGCTGCAGCGCCGTGTGACATTCTACAGGGAGCCGCTGCAGCCAGATCAGATCGTCGGGTACGCGTTGTAGAGGTGGGTGAGGGACATTCACGTGTGTCTTTCGGGTGATGGGGGAGAGGTACGAGAGCAACACGTGTAACTTCGGCATCGGCAGAGCATCAGGTTTGGTGGCGGTGAGGGACGTCAATGCGGCGTTGCTGACGGTCTACCGTGACAAGATATCGTGGCCGGCGGGGGTGCGCCAGTCGGCCGTCCTCCGTGCTTTCGTTGGCAAGGGGTTCCCCAACTGTCATGGCTGCATTGACTGCACATATATCTACATCGACAAGCCGGCAAACACCCCTGGCGAGGACTACTACGATCGGAAACGACGTTTCTCGATCATCGCGCAGGTCGTCGTCGATCTGGACTTGCGTGTGCTGGACGTCTTCGTCGGCTATCCTGGGAGCTGCCACAACGTGAGGATCATTCACCTGTCTAGTCTATAGCCGCGTGCAGAGGTTGGCGAACTTTTCACGGTACCGCCTGTGATGCTTCCATTCGGCGTCCAGACGAACGGCTACCTGCTGGGCGACAATGGTTACCCACCGTCGGAATGGATAGTCGTTCCCTACGACACCAGTACTTGTCACCCGTCGGAGACATGTTTCAACAATAAGCACTATTAAGCAGAAGACCGCGAGGGGGGCAGTTGAGAGGGCTTTCGGCAGACTGAATGGAACACTTCCTCTTGCTAACGCTCTCCATCGTTTTCGCCATTACCGTCCCGTGCTTCCATGCATTCCTTGAGAGCTTCGAAAGTTCGTTGCCTAACGTTCTTCCTCTTCCCGAAACTGCCACTGCTGCCCGTCGCTGGTGAAGACCCTTTCGTGGAGCTGTCCTCTTCGTCACTGTCGTCGCCACCGGCGTCCCCATCGCCGACAGATTCAGGGATGCCTGCAAACCCGGACAGCAGCTGCACACCACCGGAACCTCCTGTGTCAGCTACATTCTTCGGGTTTATGGTGTCTCTTCGCGGTGGAACCCTTGATCTCCTCATACACGGCCACTTCCATTCCCTCGGCTTCATGCGAGCGCATGCGCGGCCCATCCTTTGCAGATGCACGTCCTGGTCCCACTTCGCCCTTATGAGGGCGACCATGTGGTCGACCGACCAGAAGTTTCACCCGGCCTCGCCCTCCACGTCGCCTTCCCCCTCGCTCCCCGCAGCCGCCCCTTTTTTCCCCCTTCGCACCGTCGACGAAGAAGCCTTCGGCATCCTACTCCGACCACCCATGGTTTTCTGTCGGATCTGCTGAACGTCGGTCGTCTCGTCGTCCCGTCGTTCGTCGTCCGAGGTGGCGTCGTCGTAATCGTCGCAATCGACTACCGCCGGCTCCTTCTCTGCCATCCCTTCCCGCACGTGCAGTCGCTGGACCCCCCACATTATGCATTCCTCACGTTCCCTGCGCACCTGCTGCCGATGTTCCACCCACACCTGCCTCCCGAACCGTTCACCGGGAGCGCTCGCGAAATCTTCGTTCGTGGACACGTGGCCAGCCGTGCGGCCACCCTTGCTTCCACCCCCCGACAACGGCGATGGTGGCTGCATCCACTTCGGACGACTGGCAGCACCATGTGGTGCTGATGACGGCTGCGACTGGACTATCGAACGCTCCCTTGTCTTTTGTGATGCCACCCACTCCCCACTCGTAGCCTTTGCTGATCGGCCGACTGCTGTCACTTGCCCCGCGTCGTCTTCGGGGTGGGGGTTGACGAGGAGAGTGCAGATCATGGCTGATGAGCTCCCGCTACACAAACCGAATGAAAGATTCACGCCGGCTGCGTCGTCGCTTTCACGAATGTTGTCTTCCAGTAGTTCGCTGAAAGACTGTTGACACGTCGTCTCACGATTCCCATACAACTGGCTCCCCACCCACTCCTGGGTGGAGGTGCTTCCCAGTGCCACGGTACGTGACCGTGGTTCCTCCTCCTCATCTGACGTGTCTGGCAGGGGTTGTTCGTGTGGTGGCAAGTGCGCGTATGCAGATGCATCGTACCGTGGCACTGCAGAGCATGTCGGGACGTTGCGCGCCCCGTGGCTTGCGACTCGGTCCACTGGAGTCGTGTTTTTCGCCTGCCGCCCTTCCATGATGACGCCCTTCGTCGAGGAACGCCTCTTGCTCGTGCATCCAGGCAGCCTACCGAGGATGCACACGTGGAAGACGACGACAAGGACAAGTGTGACCAACACCAGGAACAGCAGCGGTAGTCTCCGGAAGACATCGGCCATGAACGACACGTGGGGAAGGGCGGTAACTACAGGACGCCGGTACGGCTGCAGCAAACGGCGACGACATGACGGCAGGAAACGGCGACGAGAAGAGGGCAGCAAACGACAGACTGTAGAGTTCGACTGGCGTCGTGTAGCTGGGAATAGAAAGTTCGCTGGCCTCAAATATTCAAATTTTCCGTCCGTTGGGCCGCTTTCTGTTTGGCGCCGCGCGCTGCGAGGGAGGACGGTTGTGGACGACGTGCGCAGGAGTCGCCACCAACGGTTGCCGTTGGGGTACGGTTCCTGGAGGCCGAACGTTGAAGACCGATGATGTCCGTCCGCCGCCCGGTAGGAACTCCAATGGACCAGCCGACCAAAATTTCTTGCCGACGACGGGTGCCCTCGCTGGTCGGTTTATAGCGGATCCTTCGCCTCCAAGGGACCTCAGGAGGTACTTTGGGGGAAACCGCAAAATGGCTGTGGCCCGAGGATTCCCCGAGGACGGCCCAAGGAAATGTTTTCACTTTTTTTTTCGTTTTCTTTCCCCGAGGATAGGTGGATCCTCGACGATTTTACGCGCCCGAGGAGTGTCTAACGAGCCCCATAGCTTAAAGCACCCATTTTCCAGTAGCAAGCCTTGCTCAGCTCGACAGCTGCGGCACTCTTGTGAGGGACGCTGGGCCCGGTTCCCAGCTTATAATAAATTGTCTTTTTTCTATTCAAAATAAAAAGAAGAAGAAGCATTGCCACCAAAAAAACAGAAAAAAACAGAAAAAATTCAAAAAAAATAAAAAAAAGAAAACGACAATGCACCCAGAGAAAGACAAAAACCTGCCAAACAGCTCGTATAGGAGAAGGGGGGAACCTATGTTGCGGCGGCGCTCGAGCGCACTAGGCACGCAGCGTCGGATATCACGTTAGGGTTTGCTATCGAGGACGATGGCCAACCGCCATGGCCCGAGGCGCTAAGCACGGGCAAGGCGGCAGCGCCGTATAGCATGCAATCGGTCATGCGACCTAATGCTTGCACTTACGGACCGGACTGTTCCCCGACATGTGGATGTGGCGGAGGTCTGGGCTAAGGAGCTCCGCATTGATCACACCGAACGGAAGAACCGAAGAACGCGTCAGGCAAGTCCTTCTCATGGATGGTAGGGATTGAGTATAATCCCGTCCGCACCTTTTCTCAAAGGGCGGTTTTTCGAAGAGGAATGGACTGGTCGGCACGCGAGCCATATCAGGAAAGAGGAGCGAGCGCGCCAAGTGGAGTGGGGGTATCGTTTCTCTCTTTCTATCTTCCCCCCCCCCCCCCCCCCCCCCCCCCCCCCCCCCCCCCCCCCCCCCCCC